ATATATATATTAAGAAACTTCATTACAAATAACAAAGAACATTTTTGGATGAATGCAGATGTACACAGTGTTAATACAAGACACAAACACTGTCTTCACAAACCAACTGCTAACCTCTCATGCTTTCAGAAAAGTGCATATTATACTGGGATCAAAATTTTCAATAACCTGCCATCTGATCTCAAAGGTCTTATGAATGAAAAGGCACAATATGAAATAGCACTGAAACAATACTTAAATGCACATTCACTCTACTCTGTTGATGAATACCTGTTGTCTAGAATATAACTTATGTATCTTTAAATAGCCTTGTGTGTAGTCACTGTGTATTCTTGATTTCTCTTGTGTGAGAACTCCATTGGGACAGCATATATGTTTTGTATTTATATGACATATTCCACATCCTACAGTCATTTTGACTAACTTTGGATCCATGGAATGCAATGCAATGTAATGTAATGTAATGTAATGTAACAGGATTGGTCTAGCTCAGGATAGAGACAAGTGGAGGGTTCTTGTGAACTTGGGAACAAACCTTTGGGTTCCACAAAATGCTGGAAAGTTCTTGAGTAGCTGCATAACCGGAATATTCTCAAAAAGGTTCAGTTCCATGAGGTAAGTAAGTAAGTAAAGCTATCCCTGTAACGGGCCGTGAAGGCCCATAGGGTTGTGAGACGTCAAGGCTCCCACACTATCTAGACAATCGGCTCAAAGATGGCGGTAAGGTTGTCGCGCTGGCCGCGCTTTACTCCCCAGGAAAATTGTTTAATTAATTCCTGGTACTCATTTCTGTTAGAGGCTGAGTAAACCCCAGGGCCTAGTGTGGCTGGTAGGAGTAGGTAATTAAAAAAAATCCAATGACCTCATCAGGACTTGAACCTGCGACCTGCTACCCTGTGCCCACAGTTCCATGAGGTTAGTTAGTTAAACTTTTGTCCACAGTTTCAGACTGGAGAGGTGCCAGCAATACGTGTTACAGTGCTATGTGTTGGTGTGTCTTCAAAAACTTCAACTTCATGGCCTTTGTGACTCTAGTGACAAATAAATTAGTATCTGTCACCTGGGTAGTGTAGTCGGTATAGCAACTGAGGGGCTGCAGTTCAAATACTGGGAGGGTCAAGAATTTGCACATCTCCAAATTGTCCAGACCAGCCCTGGGGTCCACCCAACCTCCTACCCAATGGATACCGGGGACTCTTTCACCAGGGAGAGGTAAAGTGGCCAGGGAGTGAAGCTGACCACTCACCTCCAGCTAGTGCCATATGCCTTCATGGCGTAATGCTTAATTTGTTGAGCACAGGGACAACTTTACCTTTATCTGCCACTGATTCTGAAGTTTTGACTGCAGACAACCCTGTAATTCTCATGTTTTGCAGTTTCACGGTCCATCCAATGATACTTCGCATACCTGTCCTTACATAAATTTATTACAGGGTGGGGCACAGAAACTTCCTTTTTTGAAGGCGAATAAAAGAAAAATTGTTGCTGATAGACAAAATTTATCTTTAGCTATTGAAAGAAAATACTTTAAAGTTTTAAATCATGTAGTTTTAAACAAAATATCTTGAAAGTGGCGGCCACCGTTCACTATGCACTGATGCAACCGTTTTCTGAAGTTCCCCTCTGCACGTTCCAACATGTGCACTGGAATTTAGGCTACTTCCTGCCTAATAACATTCTTCAGCTGAAGCAGGTTTGTGAAGCAATGTTTAAAAACCTCTGCCTTGAGGTATCCTCACAAAAAAAAATCACAGGGTGTTAGATCAGGTGAGTGCGCTACCCATAGGATGTCACCTCGAAGCGAGATGAGCCGTCCTAGGAACTTTGTCCTCAAAACTGTCATCGAAGCTTGGGCTGTGTGGGCCGTGGCACCTTCCGTTGGAACCAGACATTTCCTAGATGCATTTCTTCAAGAGCTGGTTTGAAAAAGTTTTTAATTATGTTCACATACTGCTGTAAATTGACACTAACTGCATGATTGTCTTCTTCAAAAAAATAAGGGCTAATAACTCCGACTCTCGACAACACACACCATACTGTCACCTTATCACTGTGAAGTGGCCTCTCATGGAGCTCTCTGGGATTGTTACCACTCCAATACTGCATATTCTGCTTATTGACGTATCCAGATAGGTGAAAATGTACCTCATCACTAAGGAAAACAAGTGTGTCGGGGTAAAGTTTCCAATAACGTTTTGCACGCCGTTATTTGGTTCTGAAAATCATGTGGTGACAATTCTTGCACAACAACCATCTTATAGAAATGGAAATTAAGATGTTCGTGAAGAATTCGGCGCATTGAACGATTGGACATGTCTAGGGCGACTGCATATTTGCAAGCGGAGCATCTTGGAGATCTCAAAATCGACTGTTGAACTGCCTCCACATTTTCTGGCATCATAACGGTCCGTTGTCATCTTGACAATTTTTTCACCACACTCCCAGTTGTCCTGAAGTTCTCTACCCACAAAACAATCGATTTCTGGTCGGGAACCAGACCTCTGAGCTTAATTCCGAAGTGAGTATGGAACACATGCTGCACTGCCATGTAGGAATGGTTCAAAAAATAGGCTTCGACAGCAAATGCACGCTGCTCACTCATCCACCTCATGTTTCCTACTGAGGGGTATTAGACAGAAACTTCCGCGACTGCTGTGTTCACCGAGCCTATCTCCACATTTCTGCGACCTCCCCTCCCTTCACAATGCATCTTCACAAAAAGGAAGTTTCTGTGCCTCACCCTGTATAATACACCTCTCATTGACAATTGTTTAATTCATCTTTCTCCATTATATAAACGTAGTAACCCTGAGAAAGAGGGGTGAACAAGGTGTGGGGGGGTGAGTTTCAGCCATAACCTGTAGCCTACCTAAAGATCATTGATAACATAAGATATACATCCTTCACAGTTTGTCTACAGCCACATTTATGGCCTTGAGATCAGTTTGTTTTCATTCACTGATATGTCACTGATACCACTGCACTACAGACACATTTATGGTCTTGATGTCAGTTTGTTTTCATTCATTAATACCTCATTGGACACCAATGGACTTTCATCTTCTTGGACTCACAAACTTCTTGCTAACAGCTCACACATCACTACCCGTTTTCGTCATACTGGTTTACCACACAGGAATGCTGAATGCTGCTTCTAAGTGCAGACTGATTGACCAGGCTAGCAGGCACTGTTTTCAGGTACACAATCTTTCTGGAATGGTCCTTTACTTCATAAGTGGACTATGCATTTTGCATTGTCAGATGGGGCAAGGTCTGTTTGAGAATATAACTCTCACCCTAATACTGCATGTAACTTTCTTCACAATATGTATTTTGTAAAGGTATGAACAACATACTCAAAATACTCACGCACAGAGTGTATTTCAAACTATTTACACGTCTGCATAGTCTAAAACTACTCTCAGAAAATATGCTGGATAATTTTAAAATCGATCAACAATTATTTCAATTAAGCTTAGGGACCAATCACATAAAGAAATAATTCTTTTTGTATCTGTTGAAACTGTCTCTCAAAGGACACAGTACTGTTAACAACTGTTCTGGGAAAACATGTTTCTATAAGATCAAATAATGTGCATTGGGGGGGGGGGAATACTGTAATGCATTGATCCACTGCTAGGCAACTGCTCAACAAACACGTTCCCATGGAGACAGATTCTTGGTAAGCAGTGTGTTGCTGAGTAATGTGTACAATATACAACAATAAAGGACATCCACTGCTAGGTAAGGGACCACTAAACATGCATTCTTGATAACATAAGTGGTGTTTTCTACGGATCCGCCTCAATACTATACAAATAGTGTGTGGAGGCGGGATCGAATACCTCCACTACAGCCCTGAAAGTCACAGGCAATGAAAAGGGAAGTCTCGAATTGGGTACAGTAAAGTATGGTTGTGTCCCCCCTGGGACTCAGACCCCAGAATGACTGCACTGGTGAGGACCAGCAACAACTGTCAACGACAGGTCTGTCTTCTCCTCAGAGAGAGAATCTCACATCAACAAACCTGCAACTGTCTGCGAATAGTAAAAATCTGGTCATAATCCCCAGATGGATGTTTTATTCCAAGACAGACTGGCTGAATGACCATCAGTTGTAACATAAGACTCAACTCAAATGAGAAAGAGAATGGAGCGAGTCTTATTAGACAGTCATTTATTTTGAGTTCTTGTAATCTATTGTGATCAAGAGTGACTGTAAAGGAAGTTGTCAATAAATTCAATCATCCAATCCAAAAATCGTTATTATTGGTCATGGAGCCATAAACTCATTACAATATTTTTATAAACAACCATAAGTGACCCAGTATAGGAGAGAAATTAAAATTATTTGTTCTCCAAGTTTCCAAATGCTTAATATTTTGGGTGCATGTGAAGATGTGCTGCTGGGCTGGGGGGGTTTTCTTAGCAATGATTTCAAAGCAGAAATCCAATATATTTACAATGTTCTAGCCTTGAGTCATAACAAAATATAAGGCATTTTCAGCTAGTTGTGTTAAATATTATATCTTTCAAAGCTAAACATAAACATTAAAATGCATCACACATTAAAATACAGTTCAGTCTCTTTCAAACACAATCCCTATCACGATTATCGCTCAGTTTAATACAATGTAATGAAGGTATACAAGTGGAGCTCAAGTAAGACCATTCATTCTTAACCATGATACGAGCTCAAGGCAAATACTTAACATTTGTACATACTACCATGTAAGGAAACTTACTTCTGCCACTTTGATGAACCGCCCTCTTCTATTCTGTTTGACATCTAGGTAAAACCTCTTAGACTGAATCTGTAGCATCTTTGTGGCCAACTCCTGTTCCCCCTGTTGCTGCTGCCCTGCAAATATATGAGCATCAATCAACATTCATTATACGTATACCTACCTAAATATTTTAAC